CAGAGGTAGGCAGATCTTTGTGAGTTCGAGACCAGCCTGGTCTACAAGAGCTAGTCTAGGACAGGCTCCAAAGCTACAGAGAAACCCTGTCTCGAAAAACCAAAGAAAGAAAAAAGAAAAAGAAACTTGTTGGATCTAATTCTCTTAGCACACTGTGGGTAGGTGGGAGCTTGTGATGGGCTAAGACCCAAGGCAAACATTAAAAAAATGGTGTCCACTCAGGTTAAAAGAAGAGGTAAGATTCCCCTGGAAACTGAGTTACTGGCAGTTGTGAGCTGCCATGTGAATTCTGGGAATAAAACCTGTGTTCTTTTCAAGAAGGAAAAATGTCCTTAATCACTGAGCCATCTATACCATTCCTAAAGCTAAGGATTTTGTTAGACACTTGAATTTAACTGGTCTTTGACGGAAGGAAGAACATGAAGTCAAAAATCATGTTTTTATTCTCTGCTCCAACTTCCAAGAGGGCTTGGAAATTTGGCATGCCAATACCATTTGAAAAGAAAGAATTTGTTCTTTAAAGAACAGAAACACTGTTTGCCTTATGCACTGCACACAGGCTACAATTGTCCAAGGATATCAGGCAACTGTAAAACCTGGGAAGTACTGTCCACATGGAGTATGTCCACATGGAATCTTTCATTGTAACTGTACCCATGCGAGAATGTTCTTAACAGAAAATTGGGTCTGCTAACTGCTTATTGCTGACAGCTCTGGGCAGGCAAGTTCATCCAACACATTCTCAGTTTCCTGGGGAACAGGAAGATAAATGCCTTTCTCTCACAAATACAAAGTATTCCACATAATTTCAGCTATCATTACAGTTTTCATAAATATTAGGTGAAATATGATTTAAAAGCATCTCTCTGAATCTATATTATCCTCCCTATACCAAGACGGTTCATTGTTCACTGATGAGATAGCTATTTTCATAAATAATGGGTCCTTGTGATGTCTTCTCTTGATTGTCAGTCTGACTACATCTGGAGCCAACCCAAACCCAAGCATCAGGACGTACATGAGAGGGATTTCTAGGTTAGATGATTTGTGTTCAGAAGACCCACGATAAATCTGGGCCACGCCTTCTGGTGTCACCCTACATACAAACACAGGGAGAAGGAAGCTTTTGCTTTTTGTCTGCTTTCCCTCACTCTCCCTGGCAAGTTCATCTGTCCTTCTGCTGAATCATTCCTAAAAGTGTTAGAACTTTCTTTGTTGATTTAGGAGCAGCGGGACTGCATCCCCGGCCCCCGGCCCCCTGCATGGCTAGGTTATGCCCCGAAATAATTACACGGAAACTGTATTTTTTTAAACACTGCCTGGCCCGTTATATGTAGCCTCTTATTGGCTAGCTCTTACATATTGTTCTAACCCATTTCTAATATTCTGTGTAGCCCACGAGGTGGCTTACCAGGGAGGATCTTAACCTGCGTTTGTCTGGAGTGGGAGAACCATGGCAACTCCTTGACTCAGCTTCTTTTTCCCAGCATTCTGTTCTGTTTACTCCACCCACCTAAGGGTTGGCCTATCAAGGGGCTTAGGCAGTTTCTTTATTAATAAGAAATCACTCACACATCATTTCTTCTCCAAAAGTCCAATGTCAGCTAAAGTCTAGCTAGGGCATCCAGCCTCACGGACTGAACAAACACTCAATTCTTGACTGTTCCACCAGGAGACAGCCATTACTGGCCTACTCACAGACTTTAAGCTAACCTTACAAACTGCCTCTCTCTGCAAGTGTGTGTGTGTGTATACTATCATTTATCATTCTATCATTTCTTTTCCCTTCAAGAACTCTGACTAATACAGTCCTAATAATGCATCTGAAAACAATCTTGACTTAGAAACTTAAATGAACATTTATCATCATGCTTTTCTTATTTTCTGACTTTTATTAATATGGAGTCCATGTAGGGAGATGCCTCAGTAGATAAAGTGCTTGCTAAGAAAGCAAAGGGGCCTCAGTTTAGATCTCTAAAACCCATTTTAAAAGATAGGGCATGGTTCTGTATACTGTAATCCCCATGTGGAGATCATAGACAGGTAGATTCCAGAGGCTCATTGGTCAGCTAGACCAGCCAAAATAGTGAGTGTCAGGTCCAGTGAGAGACCTTGCCTCAAAAATAAATGGAGAGTGTTAGAGGGAGATATTCCAGAATCCCAGAATTAGTCTCTCTTGCTGATTTGCTGTCTCTTTTTCACACACACACACACACACACACACACACACACACACACACACACGTACTACACACACACATACACACACACCTATCTTAACAATTGCACCTTCTATTACTCCTTTCTTGAGAAATTAGTTACAATAATATTATATCAGAAAACCTAACATTAAATAATTATTTCAGTTAGAGTTTCTATTGCTGTAGCAAAACACCATGACCCTAAAGCAAGTTGGAGAGGAAAGCATTGATTGGGCTTACACTTCCACATTGCTATTCATCATTGAAGGAAACCATGTCAGGAACTCAAACAGGGCAAGAACATGGAGACTTGGGCTAATGCAGAAACCACGAAGCGGTGCTGCTTACTGACTTGCTCCTCATGGCTTGCTCAGTCTTTTTCTAGATGACCAGCCTAAGAATGGCACCACCCATCATGGGCTGGGGCCTCCCGCACTGATCAGTAATTGAGAAATGCCTTATGGTTGGACCTCAAGGAGGCATTTCCTCAACTGAGGTTTCTTCCTCTCTGATGACTCTAGATAGTGTCAAGTTAACACAAAACTGGTCAGTACAATGATAAAGTATCTGTATCTTCTAATACTTTTTCATGCAAATTTCTCAGACACTTCTGAACTACCTTTTCCTATTTCCAGATCACTTAGTGAAGTGCTGCATAAAAAGCAAACCCATGATAAATTCTTCCTGAGCCTGGTATATTGATTAGGGAGCATCAATATCATATTAGCTAAAAATAATATACTATGTATAAAAATAATATACTTTTGCATATAAACTTCCTGTGAAAGTAAGTCAATCAGCCACTTAATGAGAATTTTTCTCTAATTCGAAGTGAAATTCAGAATTATAATTGATAAGCCAAAGGTATTTTATTTTATATATTGATAAGTAATTATGACATAAAATTGACTTTCAGTCTACAATACTGTAAAGAACACGATAGTCCCTCTCTTAGCATATTTACTTGTGGATTGCGTTGGGTGGGCTACTCAGTCTAGGGGTTAGTAACCCACCCGCAATCCAGTTATTCCAGGGTCTCGGAGGGGCGCTACCTGGAAGGGAATGAGCTAAGACAGAAGAACGAGGCCAAGCAACTTTGTTAAGGCCTCAGTTTATTAGGGACGGGTTACAGTTTATATATGGTAAGGGATGAGGGGCAGGGTACGGGATCTCGCAGGCCGCGTGGTTCCGGTCACATAGCTCGGTTACATTCAGACAGACAGGCCAGAAGTCACAAGTGGCCACACCTGGTTCCCTGGTTAGCTGGAATGTGAGGCTGGTTCCGCTAAGATTAGCAGTTAATTGGGTGAGGGGCAGGTTTTGTCAATAGAACATAACTATGGGTGTGAGGTTCTCTGCAGACTCCCTAGAGTGATGGTCTCTGTAATGATTGTTAGGGGGGAAATGGCTCCTGACATTTACTTAATATTCATATTGTTTACTGTTCTGTGTCAGTATCTTTTCTTAATGAGCTGAAACCAAGTATCTTTTTGTGCAATTCTACCAAGTCTGGATACACAAATGAAGTTTTACTGTTTATAGCCAAGGCTTCATAAAGACCTTTTGACCAATCTCAGTTCTGTAGATAACATTTTTTCCCAGTGTAACAAGAGAAAGATCAGTCCAAACACCTCCCCCCTTCTTTGTGTTATGTTAGGAACATCCCTTGTTTAACTGCTGACAGTCTCAATTAGCTAAGCAGTAAACTGCTAAGAGTGTATCCTTACATTTTTTTTTGAGTGGTTGCAAGAATCTATTATTGAATAGGCCTATTTCTCCATTGATTTACAGAAGTTGTAAAGAATATTCCACCTCACATAATCTTTTGCTAGTAAGAATTCAATCCCAGGCAGTAAAAACCTTTATGGCCTTCCCAGGAGGCGTTGGGGCACAGGTGGCATTCTCATTACCACAGCTGATAAAAAGAGAGGCTTGCTTGGGGTCTTTGAGTGAGCCAGTTATTGAGGGAGTAGAATCTAGGTCTCCCTTTGCCTAGTATACAAGCAAAAAGCACAGAATTCCCAGGAGTGTTGCCTGAATCACATGTGCAGGAAATAGAGGGAAATGATGCCCAGGATGCTCATTGCTGAATCCCCATAGCAACCTTCCCCTGCTCCCCTCCCAGTGCACATAAAGTACACCGAAGGGTATCAAACAACATTAAATCTGAATAGTGCCCTTAATTAGGTGGGACCATAATGTTGACTCTCTTACCTCCCACTGTCCAAGCTAGCAGCTCCCCAGTCCTCTCTGGTGCCTAAGCCTGAAAGCAGGACATCGTTATAGAAACAATCTTTGCCTTTCGCGGGACCATCAAGCTTTGATGATGATGGAGTTTGATAGCCATAATGTCAAACTTTATATGGCCATAATCCAAGTTTACAATAATACATTAAGCCATAATGCTACTATTTATATCACCATAAAACTGAGTTTATGGTGATATAAATAGTCATGCTAATGGCATTAACAGCAGCACGCAGTGGAATCCCAGCTGTTGAGTGGCACTTTTATGCTATTACATTGCAATTTATGCTACCGTAAGCTTAGGTAGTCAAGCTTGTTACATATGAATAGACAAAAAAGATGAATATCCACATCTTATGCCTGAATGGAGGCTTCTATATTAGACACACCCTCTTTACTATAAAGATCCATGTAGCTCTCTCTATTGTGCCCCACTTGCGTTGTGTGATATATTTGAAGAAAAAGTCTGTTTTCTGGCATCTTCTGAGCAACATGGAAACATTATTTCAATGTGATAAGAAAATGCAAGTCACAGCTGCTGGGCAAACTTACTGTCTCCTTGGCAGCGCAGAGGACCCACGCTCAGCTTGGCTTCTGAGCCTTGCCGGTCAGTATCTCCAACCACCACCTGGCTCACTGGCAGGTGATCTTTGTAGGATAAGAAGCCAGCATCCTTCCTCCTGAATCACAGGGAGACAGAAAAAACATGAGAGACGGTGTTAGGATTATAGTTGTCTCTGATCAATGATGGCATTTTTAATCGTGCTTCAGAAATGTACTGAGTAAAATCCCAGATGGAGTTTGCTCTCCTCCCCTGTAAGCACTCAGACTGTGGCTCAGAGGCAATGCTGGCATGGTCATCTGATGGAAAATAGTACTGACATCCTTGTCTCCAGAACCTATACCTAATAAGCCATTGGCTATTTAAGTGGAAATTAGACCAAACCACATACCCCACAGATGCTCACATTTAAAGTTAATGGAAAGTTCAACAAAGCCACCTAAATGATAGACCAAATCCCTGTTGAAAATCTTTGCCTCTTTAATTGTTGAAGCAATTTCTTCAGAGACTTTCTTCCCTACTGGGCATCAGCTAAATATGGATTAGCTTTTGTTTTCTGGTCTTTCCTTGTTTACGTGAAGCACTGAAATAGTTCACGGATGTCTCCAGCATAAAGCAGGTGCTCCATCAGTACTTAGCTCTATGGATAATGAGAAGCGGAGCTGAGATTTGAACCCTGTTTGGTTTTCTGCCTAGGTTCATCTGTTTATCCTGCACTTTTCCACCTTCTAACTTGATTCCACACCTACTTTGAATTACTTAATTTTTGTATCAATTGTTTGAAAATTTCCTGTATTCATGCAACGTATTTTATCATATACATTCTCCTCTCCTACCCATAACTCCTCCCAGATCCACCCACATTTTTAATGTCCCTTCCAATTTCATGATTTTTTTATAACCCACTGAATCCAGTCAGTGCTGCTCATAATGTTTTTGGGTGTGGGACCATCTACTAGAGTGAGGCTGACCTACCACATTCTATACCTGATGTGGGAGTCCCTTTTGTGTGTTGTGATTACCATTAATGAATAAAGAAATTGCATTGGCCTGTTGATAGAACAGAACTTAGGTAGGCGGGGAAGATGGAACTGAATGCTGGGAGAAGAAAGGCTGAGTCAGGGGATGCCATGGATCCACTGCCAGAGATAGACATACTGAAACTTTGCTGGTAGGCCACAACCTCATGCTGATATACAAAATACTAGAAATAGGTTAAACTAAGATGTAAGAGTTAGCCAATAAGAAGTTAGAGCTAATGGGTCAAGCAGTGATTTAAATAATACAGTTTCTGTGCGATTATTTTGATTCTGGGTGGCTGGGAACAAATAAGCACCCCCTCCTACAAACTGGCACCTATGTGGCCAACTAAATCCACATAAAACCTGAGAGGTCTTGAAAAGGAATTCTACACACACACAAAAATGCAGAGTTTAAAACAGCTTCTTGCTGTTTTTGGCGGCTTGCTGCAAGTCCTTTACGAGAGATGTTCCTGATTCAGCCATAGGAAGAAAGCCACAACTGTCTTAAAATGCCGGCCTTCTGGGCCACACTGCCAGTGAGACCTTTGCCTCTTTTGGGAGACCAAGTATTTGAATGGGTTTTGTGAGCAGTGTGCTGAAACCTGCTTGATGGCAACATGGACCAACTTTGTGCCTGGAACTGGGGCAGCGTGAGTGGCTCAGAGGCGCAAGTTGGCTCCACCATGCTGGACTATGTGGAGCAAGCAGGTATTACTGTATATGCCATACTAATGGTGCAACTTAAGTTTTAAGAAGTGCTTAGCATTTTAAAAAGCGGTCATGGACATTAAAGAATTACAAATATGCAATAAAAACAAATCCAGAGGAAAAATAACTCTAAACAAGTCAGTGTTGAATAAGTGTGCCTAGGCTTTGGAAGAGAGAAGAAAAAGAGTATAGTCATAAAATAAAGTTAATGCTTTTTTTTTTAAAGGTAAGTCTTTAAAGAGACAGAGTACAGAAAGAAAAATAAGCCACGCAAAGATGGAAAATTTACAGAGCGTCTGGATTATGTATATTATTGTGTTTTCTTTGAATTTTTTGGCTGTGAAGGAGCTAAGTACAGAGAGACATCTCATTGTATGGACTGCTAAGCTAAACCAACATAAAGGTATATTGATTCCAAAATTTGAGTCTAAGGATATGTTGCTTTGGAAAAGAGAGTTTTCTCAGAAGATGAGAACCTGTGGATTGCTTCCAGATCAGTGTAGTATGATGGAACAAGACTCCCTGAAAGGTTGCTGTGAATACCTCCACAAAGAAAATACTTGACCCAATAAATAGCAGGAAACAGTTTGGAGAGAAATAATTATGCCCATATTCCCAAATATTGTCTATAAATGTTTGTCTGCATTTAAAGGGTAATGTGCTATAGAGATTTGCATTGGTATGGATCTTGGTTTATTAATACAAATTTAAGGTCAATTTTGTTATATTTCTGCTCTTGATTAAGGTATTGTGATTGTGTAGTTCATTTGAAAATATAATGCATAATTAAGAAATAAAGCTTAATAGGTATTTGTCTATAATAGTCAAGATTGTAGTCATGTTAATTAGGTTTTCTAGATATATAGAGATATATTTCAGTTAGATAGGTATTCTTCAAATCTTTCAAAGAATTTCAGAATATGGCATTTAAAATGTTTAAATAACTTAGGACTTTTCATGACAATGAGATACGTCTGCTCTTGGCAGCACCAAACTACTTCAAGAGGAAGATGGGCATTGAAGAGGCACCTTGTGGAATTTGCTAGATATTTGGGCAAGAAACTATTCTTGCCTGGACAGATTAGCTGAACATTCAGGACCCACAGAGAGATGACTGCTGAACTTGCCTAAAGGTGAGATAATCCTTCGGTGTTCCTGCTTCATGAAAGAGGCTGTGAGACATTCTGCAGGATACAGAAGAAAGTGACTGAACTGCCTTTGAAATTTCCTGCTTTGTCGAAAAGTCTGCTAGATGCTATGGGCCAGTAAGCTAAAGATGGATGCCCCAACGGTACAGAACAACTTTGGTTAACTGTCCAGGCAGTGAGATATCTCTGTTAATTGTAGAATTTTGGAAGTTGCTTGCAATGTACTTTCTGTTTACTTAGGTAATGTTATATTTTTCTGGAGTCTTTGATGGAGTTGAAGAATTTATAGTTATAGTTTTCCTTAGTTATGATAAAAGATAAAATAGATATATTGTAAGTGTAATTCTTGTTTGGTAACTGTTTTGTTATATGTAATTTTACTATGTTAAAGTTAAAACCTTTCTTTTTATTTAAACAGAAAAGGGGAGGTGATGTGGGAGGCCTCTCTGTGTGCTGTGATTACCATTAATGAATAAAGAAACTGCATTGGCCTGTTGATAGGGCAGAACATAGGTAGGTGGGGAAGATGGAACTGAATGCTGGGAGAAGAAAGGCTGAGTCAGGGGATGCCATGGATCCACCGCCAGAGATAGACATGCTGAAACTTTGATGGTAGGCCACAACCTCATGCTGATATACAAAATACTAGAAATGGGTTAAACTAAAATGTAAGAGTTAGCCAATAAGAAGTTAGAGCTAATGGGTCAAGCAGTGATTTAAATAATACAGTTTCTATGTGATTATTTTGGTTCTGGGTGACCGGGAATGAACAAGTGTCTCCTCCTACATATACCTTTATTAAAAATTCCTCTATTCTAGTAGTCATTAATGCCCAATGGCTTCTCAAATAGAGGTAAGGATTCATGAGCACACCATGTCCATTTAACAGTGTTGACTGGCTTTATCTTGGTCAGGTATTATAAAAGCAACTAACAGAACACTGTTGTTAGTGTCCTGTCATGTCCAGAAAACACTGTTACACCTGAGTCTTCTTGTTCCTGGTAACCAGGCTTCAAACCTGCCAGTAGGTTTTCTTTTGTGCAAACTTACTTTCCTTTAGCAGAAATTCAAACAGTTAAAGTCACTTCAAACAGGAAGAAAATGTTCTGTTTTTGAAAAGTTATGCATGTGTTCTTGTGTGCATGTACATGTTATATGTAAGGATGCCCACACATGTGTGCAACTGCATTTGAGTTTCAAATGTCCATACTAGGTGTCTTATTCCATTGATCTACATCTTATTTTCTGGAACAGACTCTTTCTGAACTTGGAGCTTGCTGATTCAGATAGACTGGATGACCTGCAAACCTCAGGAATCCTGTCTCAGCCTACTCAGGATTGGAATTAGATATGTGATAATCTGCCCAGATTTTTATGTGGGTACTGGTTATCCAAATTCTGGGGTACATATTCATGCAGTAAAGACATTTCAAATAAGCTATGCTCCTACACCAAAGCCTTAGATAGTAAACTTGATATTTACTCTTAAAGGAACAATAAATGAAGGTAGCCTAACTGCACACTTTAATTTGACAGCCTGTTAGAAATGATTCCCATGGACATGGTGCTAATGTCCTTTATGAGTTAATGCCGCTTAGGGTGCATCGCTAAACTGCTGCTCCACAAACTATATCCTAAAATCCAAATTCCTCTTGCAATCTGCTTTTGTTTGACCCAGAAGTGACTTTGTGGTTGACTTTGCAGTGTCTGTATGCAACATGTAGTATCTTCGGTACACACCAGGTTCCTGAGCAGAATGGGCTGCCCTGAATGAACTCTTAGAGCTTAATTCTTTGGGCTTCTGAAAGATAGAGTGGATAATTTTGTAAATAGGAGACGTGGGCTGTGGAGATGGCTCAGCGTGTAAAGTACATGTGCACACATACAACAAGTCATAAGACTTTTGAGAGGGAGAATCTCCATGACATTGTGTAATAAATGTACACTGATCATGGGATGGGTTTTTACATATGCATATGTAATCCATGTATGATTCACACATCTACTTGTGCAATTGTAACTCAAACCCTAGTTTGGAGTACCTTTAGTGATCCAGAAGCACCTCTCCCACACATTTCCTGTAGTCAATACACACGTTAAAGGTATTTTCTATTTAATTCAAAATATTCAAATATCCAAAATCCTTTGGGTCGTACTCTAAATGAAATGTTGTGCTTCACTAGTGAAAATGTAATATCACCAAACAATGGGAATGAGGCTTCTCCTGTTGTCAGCGGGGA